GGGGCTGACTTTTCTTGAACACAACACAAAAACATGTTAGATAAGAAAGAGACTTCCTGAGATAAATTCCCAGGATGAAAGTTATTGCCTGCTTGGAGATCCCAGCTTTGACATTTCATAACTGTGTAAATAATTTAACTCTTTTGTGTCTCCATTTGCTCATCTGACCAAATAAGGAAAACTACAGGGTAGCATGACATGTATATCAAAAGAGTTAATAAATAAAAAAGGGTTTGACAATATAAAGTGTCCAGTATAAATGACTGTGAGTGCTCAGCTATGAAAGAAGCATTTATGTCCTCCTCCAATGCAAAGCTCAGAGACACAGGAAGATGGGAAGGAAAGAATGTAAGAACCAGAAAATGGAAAACAGAATTCTGAAATGCTGCCTTCTAGACATGCCATGGCTCTTGCACATATTAACTCATAGTACCTGTGGGTATGTACACAAGACCTTAAAAATAGTACAAACTCAAGTATGTATAGGGAGGCACTTCTGAAAATGAAATTGAAAGGGAGCTGGGGACAATTAGAGAGAACTGAAGAGAGGTAGTGTGGATGGGAGTGATTAAAAACATTACATAAATTTAAGAAATCAAATATATAAAAGTTTATTTAAAAATATTTAAAGATTTTGTTTTGTGTGCATGAGGCTTTTGCCTACAAGGGTATATGTGTGCCACATGTGTGCCAAGTGTCAGGGGGGCCAAAAGAGTACATGAGAGTACATTATATACCCTAGAACAGGAGTTAAGAATGTTATGAGCCATTGTGTTCTTGCTCAGGACTGAACCACATCCTTTGCAAGAACAGAAAGTGTTCTTAACAGCTGAGCATCTCTCAAAACTCTCCAACATATGCAAAATTTGAACAATATCTTAGAAGAAAAGATGTTGAGGGGGCTGAAAAAGTAACCATTGTAGAAATGTTAGTCATTATATTGGAGAAGACTGGGTCACTATGATAAGGGGCCACTGCAACCAACAGTCAATCACATTCCCACACTCAATACGGCTACTGAGAATTAATAAACATGTTAAAGAAAAGAAAGATGATGCACCTGGAATATTAATTTGCCTTTAGTGCAATGGAAATGGGAAGTATTTGTTACACATAGTTACATCATCTTAGAAACTGGCATCTGGCTCTGAGTCAATAACTTGCATGTCTTTAAAAGCTCTTCATGGGAAAGGAGTAATCCATTTCTTTTTTGGTATTGGCAATTATTTCTGCAGCTTTTGGGAAAGTGGCAAAGAACATGTCTCTCTCCTCTTTTTATTTTTTCTTAAAGAGAAGGAAACAAATGTCAAGCTTCAGTTTTAATTAAGCAATTAACTAAAATGTTATATAGAAAAGACAAGAAAAAACGTCAATTGTGTAATTTAATTTTAATTGAATGAAATAAGTTAGTGGAGGCAAGCTTCTGCTCCACGAGTCCTTTCACAGGATGCAGAATAGATTTTGACAGTAGTGACAGAGGTAACATCAAGACTAATTCCATTTAATTAGCAGTGCCCAACCCTTCTGAACAGAACAGCGATACTCTTATTAAATAATACCAAAAATGCAATAGATTTTGGCCTAAAGTAATGAAGATGTGACCTCTACAAATAAACATTTCCCCTGTGTGTCCTTCACACATTCAGAAAGCTGTGTTTAAAACTTTGCCCTGTTATTTCAGTTAGTCTGAGAGGGAAGCATCAGCTAGCTGTCCTATGCACAGGCAAACAGGCACACACCAGAAAGAGTAAGCATATTTCAACTCTGAGCCAAGTTGTCAGCACACCACTTATCTATTATTTCACTTTTAGATAAAGTTTTTTATTGACATGTCCTACAGGCTAAGTGAAGAGATCACTGGGTTTGCAAAAATTCAATACATATTAGAAATTAGTGTCAAGAGAAGAACTAAAACAACATGGCTGCCCAGTCAGCATCACTCCCTTTGAAAACGCAACTGTGATTCTCATATTAAGAAGTATGGATTATATGAATTTCAAAAGTGAGCAATACTAAATAAAACTGGAAATGTATGATTTAGAATCTCTCTGTCTGTCTCTGTCTCTCTGTCTCTCTATCTCCCTCTGCCCAACATTTGGTTATAAGAGTTCTCTATCTTCTTCTTGGATTCAAACTGATGCATTGCTCCATTCTGTTGTAGTTACAAGCCACTATATATTTATTTGATTTTAATACAGGTGGATAGTTGAGTACTTCACATTTTTGGTGGTGTTAGGAATAGCACAGCCATGGACAGTCTCGGGCAACCTGTTTCCTGAAGAAATGAGTGAGTTTCTGAAGAATACAGACTGGTAGTATAACTGCTGACAGTGCATAAATGTAGGTCACGTTAAAGTTTGTTGAATTTTCACTCACAGTGAATGTAAGTTCAGTTGGTACAGATTTTTGTCAACACTTAGATCAAGTGTTTTATTCTAGCTGTTCTCCTAGATGTGTCTACACATTCAACATGGTTTTAATATTCTTAACAATGAAGGTAAGAACTCTTTTCATGGTCCCTCTCCTTGTGGATTTTATTTTGGAAAATGCTTATTTTAATTAAGTTAACCATTTTGTCTAGGCACAGTCTTGTTACATGAGCTTCAAATGCTTGTATATGTTGGGTGTCATCTCTTCTCAGATGGATGCTATCTATTTTCTGCTATTTGGCTAATGCTTCCTAAACAGCATGCCTTCCTGAGCAAAGTTTCCTAGGTACTCACACAAAGTGGCCAACATAATTTTTCTATCTGTGATTTTGCTATTGAGAAGGTAAAGATGTTTCCTACATAATACTTAATTCTACAGAGATATGTGTTATCAAATTTTAGAGTCATCAGTTTTATTAATTTATTTTTTTAATAATGTTTGCACACTGTCTGTGATGGTGGAGCTGACTGGATTTAGAAGTACCTAGTGAATCAGTAAGACACTTCCAGATGTGACCTCTGCAGAGAGGATTAACTTAGTGGGAAAGACCAGCTATAAATGTGTGAGATATTCTCCCACACTTGGGAACCAAAAGCAACGAAAGGAAGGGGTAAGTCAGCTACAGTAGACATTCTCCTACATCCTGGCCACCATGGTATAAACTGCTCTGCTTTGTCACTCTCTGTCATAAGGAACTAAAACCAAGAACCAAAATAAATCTTTCCTTCCTTAAGTTGTTTTGTGTCAGAGCAACAAACACAAAAATCTAACTAGTATGCCTGCAGGCAGAGCTGGTCTTTGTTTCTTTCTGGAAATTTTATTTGAGTGTATACCTGACGTTGATGTGTGTGTGTGTGTGTGTGTGTGTGTGTGTGTGTGTGTGTGTGTGTGTGTTTCTGGCCCACATAATCAACTAAGCAAGCCTCAAGTGGGCTCAGGGAGACTGAAGCAGCAACCATGGGCCCACATGGGTCTGCACCCATCCTCTGCATGTGTGCTATGGCTATTAACTTGGTGTTTTTGCAGGACTCCTAACAGTTGGAGCAGATGTGTCTCTGACTCCTTTGCCTGCTCTTGGGACTCCTTTCCTCCTATGGTATTGCCTTGTCCAGCTATATTATGAGGTTTTTGCTTTGTTTTATTATATTTTGTTCTGTCCTACTTGGTTGGTGTCTCTTGGAGGTCTGCTCTTTCTAAAGATGACACAGCAGGGGAGGAGATCTGCTGGAGAGGTGAGCTTATGTGGGGAGCTGGGAGGAGTGGAGAGAGGGTAGACTGTGAACTTCCTTATATGCCATTCTTCTTCTTTTTCTTCATTTTCTCTGTCTAATTCCTTCTGTTCTTCCTGCTCTCTCAATGATATTGGAACACCCAGTACTTGACTAAGGTTTGAAGGAGCAATAAGCACTCTTAACTGCTGGATCATCCCTCTAGCCCTACCATTAATCTTCTAGTTCTACTGAAGCCAGTGCTTTAGATAGCTTTTGTTTCTTGGATTCTCAAACAGCCACCTAAACCTGCTTTTTTTCTTATATTTAGCTTGATGAATCTCTAAAGTACAAACTGTTGAGGACGACTTATCATTATGATAATTAGAAAATTCTTTCAGATTTTGAGCACATTAGCCTCCTTCAAGTACTGTATCATCTTTAGGACAGAGGCAGAAATAGATAGGTGTATAATTATGATTTTAACATACTTGACAAATAGATGAGTATATTTGCCTAAAATTATCATTTCCTATGTAACATCCTATATATTGGAACTAATTTTCTGTGGTTTATAATACAGGCACATAAAATATAACAATGTATTCAATATTTAGAAGAAATGGTGCCATTGGAATGTTTTTTATAACATAGTAGTTGATATCATCTTATTTCATAAGACACAATCAAATTATAGATGGTATGTAGGTTGAGATTTCATAATCTATTGTTACAATTTGCTATAGGCTTATCATTCAGGGTGGCTTTTTGCAAGACTTTTATTAAAGTTTTGTGTTGAATTTTATTACTTGCAGTTAAGAACTTATGCATTTGTCATCACTACAAATTTCATTTTATTAAATTAAATATCTGCATTAAAATAATTTATATCATGACTAACTACCCCAAGAAGAACAAGGGAATATGATAGAAGATGTAGTCTCTTTCATCTTAGTGAATCACAATAGTGATTATTCAGAAGGAATTTAAGATAAATCATTGGGCTATTCATTAAATCTTTTTTAACAAAGAAAATTAGCAGAAGCGTTGTCATCTTTGTGAGATACTTGGTTGTCTATTGTGTATTCAAGATGACAATGGCACCCAAATGACATACTGTTGTAGGGCATAAAAAATTAAAGATGTTGGGATCAAGTTTAATTGACTGGTTCTTGTCACAAAATATTGAGTGAATGATGGTGTTGTTTCTTAAATAGTACTGTGTATAAGAGTTGAGAATGAGGTATGCATCAGGAGATAATCATAGATTCAGTAATTAGATTCTATTTCTGCTTCTGATATGGAGTACTCATTAAGAAAAACGTAATACTTTTCTTTCAAACTCTTGTCTCTATTTACAAGATTTTAAGAACCAGGGAAAAGTTTAGGCTCTGAAAAAGACCTTCAACAACAGGATCCACAGACCACTGGAAGCACAAGTTACCCCAGATTAGGAAAACAATGTTACAAGGTGAGTCTGAAATCCTATTCAACTAGAAAACAAAAGAATTTTCCATAATATCTATAGTTTTTTCCAAATACCTTAAAAGCCAAGATCAATCAGTTTGATTTTCAAAGATTGGTGACTGTCAAAGGTCATGAAGATTTCAGTTGATTTAAATTCACAAAGTAGGGAAACAAAATATTCCTATTTATTATAATAGAGAAAAGAAAAAATTCTTTTCTTTACATTTCTTTCTGTCTTCAGGAATCAAATCATTCTACAAACTGGATATTGAATTAAAATTAAACACAGTAACTGTTTCTATTTTTTTAAGTTTAATGTAAATGAACTGGTAAAGAAAGCTGTTTTTTAGCAAGGAGTTCTATATGGAAGAAATGAAGGAATGAGTATAGATTCTAGGCCCTCATCAATGGCTCCCAAATTGATCATGAAGAATATTTAAACAGCTACAAGGCAAGAGTCTTCCAACATAATAATACAGGAGATAGAACACCTTTATAATTTCAGTTGGGACAGAAGAGGGTGAACAGGTACTTCTGATCCTTCTTACCACCGTATCATCCATATCCAGAATGTTTTTTTTTATATAATTGGCACCAAATGGATACCTGGTTGAATGGAAAGAGTAAGCATTGTCGGGACTATAATACATAATCTTGTACTTGTTTTCACTGATGGCTTAATTTAATCAGAAGAGTTAATACCAAAACATTAAAGATCTTATAAAAATAGAAGCCCTAAATGGAATTTTTGTAACTGATGAAGGCTTCCATACCTAGTCTTAACACCTCAATGAAATGGACAGTGCTTAAAGCAGTGTTCTAACATCATTGCCATTTAACATAGTACACTATTAGAGAGATATGTTAGTTACATCTTCCATCTCCCCATTGGGGACTCTCATCTCGATGCCCTGGGAGAAGTATGATTGCCCCCAAAGCATTCCTTTTTTTGCAGTGTTTTGTTGAATTTAAATTAAGATTCTCTAAAGTAAATTGGAAAGTTGCTCAAAATTGACTTCAGGCATCATAAGAACCCTAAAGCTTCCAAGGGACTTAGTAAAATCTAAAACCTCAATATCTCCTGAAGGAAAACCACATGTCAGACACATTATTCTGTGTTGTTGTGGGTTTTTTCTTTCTGATTTAATTTAAAATAAAAAAGAAACACATCCTAAATAGTTGAGGTTGATTTTCTCTGATAATAATTCTAGAAACAAGGAAAGCAGCATTAATATGTCTAGCATAATTAAAGTACCATAAAATTTTGAAGATACAATATTTACATTTCATTTATGGTACATATTTTTGTGTGGTCTGTATCATGTTTGCCTGTGGAAATAATCTTTAATTCTGTTGCTCCAACAATGACACAGCTAAGGGTATCATATAATTAAATGATTAAATTTCATATTGCTACATTGTAGACATAGTTCCTGTTTTCATGATTCATGTTTATCTCTACACTGTTTTGATAATATGTTTGTGTGTGCTAACACTATAGACAACACTTCAATTGTTTGAATGCAAAGGTGTCTTTCCCTTCTTTGTTTTCCTAAAGTAAAATCATATATATATATATATATATATATATATATATATATATATATATATATATGATAAAATGATTATGCTGAAGGGAAATGTCCAAAAAGTATATTTAGTTAGTCCTCATTTAATACAAGTCTCATAGATCATCACATTATGTATTACATTATAAGCAAGAAGAATGAAAAATGATAAAGAAGTGTTTCCCTTGACCGTGAATTGCTAAAAATGCCAGATCAAGAAGTTCAGCCAGCATGGTTGCCTCTATATCCCTTCTATCATATCACACATCATGATTATTTTGTGATACTATGTAAGCAAGTTAGATGTGAAGGAAACAAGGAAAACCACAGCTCTATACTGGAAGCTGTGTTCTCTAGTAAGGAGTTTTATCAAGAGAACAAAGGACACTGCCACTGTATCTCAGCAGCGATGTCCACTGGGGGTGAAAATTTTCCTTTGGTTAAACATCATGGAAACAAGAGATGGATAATTCCTATTCTGTCTGAAACCAATGTACTAGGACAGTTTCTCAATTGCCACAAATACATATAAGTGAAGGATCTTCATCCTTAAAAGACTTGTCCCATTGGATTTTCAAGAGAGTCATCGGAATAGTCTAAAGGAGAGATCCAGTCTCCCATGATTTGGGAGGGAATAGTGGTCATCTATAACATGCAGACATGTTACCCACCTCATAAATATTCATAAAAACACAGACCTGGCTGGGCGGTGGTGGCGCATGCCTTTAATCCCAGCACCTGGGAGGCAGAGGCAGGTGGATCTTTGTGAGTTCGAGGCCAGCCTGGTCTACAGCGCGAGATCCAGGAAAGGAGCAAAGCTACACAGAGAAACCCTGTCTAAAAAAAAAAAAAAAAGCAACAAACAAACAAACAAAAACAAAACAACAACAACAACAACAAAAAAAAAAAAAACACTACAGACCTGCCATACTCCTGTACTGCCTTGCTCAAACAGTTAGCTTCAAATGCTATTTGGTATGCTTACTTTGCTTTATTAAATAAACTTCTACTTAAACTGTTTGTTTTCTAGACTGAATTCTTCCTTGCAAGGAGACAAGACCACAGGAAAAACCTTTAACCAGGTAACACATGGACAAAAGACACATGATCCTAAATTCCTCATTTGTGCCAGACATTGTCTTGATACGTACATGCTAGTCTGACAGTCAAGACTGTGGATCATTGCTCTCCTTTCTTGGTCTTGTAGCATAATATCACATTAATGTTCCTTTCCTGACCAAGCAAAGGGATTATTATTTCACACTCAGTACTCTCTACCACACTGTCTGTTTTGTTGATAGTACTTTCCACTCGTCTGTGTCTATTGTCTTTCCACTCCACTGAGAGTTCCACAAAGGAGGAGCCATTATCATATAAACTGTGAAGGAAAGACCACATGGATCTTCAAATTGTTTCTAAAAGAACTGGAAAAAAAACATATTTCTGCTATGTGTTAAATATTTTAGGTATGCAATTTATGCAATTTACATAAATATTTCTTTTTAAATATCAAATGTTAGAAAGACTATAGCCTGTATTCTTCTTGTTTTAATTTAAAGGCAATATCCATGACTTTCATTTAAATTCTCATTAAATGCTTAGTGAAAGATTTAATATTTTATCATAAATGAATTAATGAATAGCTGAGAACAAAGGCTATGAATGAATGAGGCTTAAAAAAACACATGAACTTAGGAACTCAGGAATAATCTCAAATTTGATCTGTGACACCTGATAGCTATTGCTTATGTTGGTGTGCACAGGCATTGCTGATTGTCTCATCCCTTGTACGTATACAATTCAATAAAGCAGATAGACTGTGCATGGACTCTTGGTTATGTACTAATAGCACTTAGTTTATTTGTACTAGTCAGACAATTACATCTCAAGCATGATTCTGAGTAGGTTCACTTAGAAAATTCAAACTTTAGCAAAAAGAACAAGCAGAATGGAGTCCATTGCTCTCTTAGGCCTGTTGCCTGCGTACCATTAGGCCTGCTGCCTCTGTCTCATTAGGCCTGCTGCCTGGTTTTCATGAGTTTCCCTTCCTAAGCTTCATTAGGACTGCTGCCTTGCCTTTATTAGGAACATTACCTGATTTCTTTTAGGCCAGATGCCTCATTTCTTTTGGACCCCGGGACATGCAGCCATACTTACCTTAAAGGACAGTCCATTGATTGTTCACTGTCTTCCCTAAATACATGATAACCACTGCCAATAAGTTCCTTAGGCTGGGTGAGAGAAGCAGGAAAAGAGATCTTGCCAATGAGCACATTTGTGTAACCTAGGATTCAACCAGCCACCCCCTTCTATTAGAATTCATCAGTTGCCCCCATCTATTAGAATTCATCAGTCCTTTGTAGTTTGAAGTTGTGGTAATATTACCTTTTCAAATCAGTCATAATATACCAAACACCCTTGCAGCAGTATGAATAAAAAAAAAATGGATGTCATTAATTTGAATTCATTTGAATTGGAACAAAAATAATTTGAATGATGCTCTTAGGTTAATTAAATACTTTATTTTCTGTTATGTTTATTTATTATACATTGGGAAAGCAGTGATCGTTGTCACAATGTCTCTTTTGTAATTACAAGGGAGAAAATAGTTTAATGTCCTTAATTTATTCACATGAAAAGTAGATTATAGATCCAAGTCATTTCAAAATAACTCCTATGTATTTATAGATAAACAATTTTATATACAAACTTTTGTTTTTCTAACATAACTTACACAAATATCCAACAGAAATAAGTTTTCATTTAATATAAGAAAAATCTTTGTACATTCTTATATTGATTTAAGTACAATTTATCAGATTTAAACACAAAAAACTGTTCTTTGAAGATATCAGAGACAGCAAGTGGTTTCTACAAGCAATATGCTACATACTTATATTGACAAACAACTTTTGTGCCCTATAATCAAATTTATTTTATAAATATATTTATATTAATCTGTGAGTATTAATAATGTCATAATGTGCAAAACAATATTGGAAGACAAAAAATGACTCAAATTTTAAAAAACATTTTCAAATTGCTTACAATTTTTGACTTTGTAATAAAATTAAATAATATCCAAACTTGTTTACTTGAATATATGGAAAATATTATTCATTATCAAGAAGACATTATCATTTTCTTGATAATCTGAGATTCTACTTTGCATGAAATTTTATATACCCCAAGCATAAATGTTTATAATTTACTTAGAAATGTGCAAAATGCATTGAAATTACTATAGATTGTAATCAGGGCAGTTTATAGACAAATCAGGACAAATTCATTATCATAACATTTGGTTCTGAATCAATAAATAGTCTCTGATTCCTGGTGAACAGACTTTTAAATAATTCTCTATTTTAGTTCAAGAAATATGGTAAGATGCCATTTTTTAATTTCTATTGATGTCTCACATGTTATTAATCAGTCAGCTGCCTAGACATGCTGGGTGTGGATACTGCATTCACCTGGTCAGATCTGGAGGCCCGGTCTCCATTTGAAGACCCCTACCTCACCCACTGGTAATTCTGCCCCTAGACCTCAAGAGCTTTGATCTTCAATGTGTGACTTTATTAGTCATTTACATCTGGGAAGCTGACAGCCAAAATCATTTTCTTCTTGACAGTTGTGTTTAGACAAGCTGTTCATTAAACACTTGGCCTAGGAGTTATGACAGACATATTGGTTCAAAAGACTTATTTTGATGAAACATTTTGTTGGCTGGATTCATGCATTACCAGTGGCCACATGCCTTGATTTATTCCTTGTCAAAATATTTTCTTGCCAACATGTAGTCGCAGACTTCTCTGGATTAAGTCATATTTAAGCACTGTAGAAAAATAAGCACTCCACCTAAAGATCTTCTTGGGAGAACAAGTGCTAGAAAGGGGGTAATCGCCTACTGACACTGATTTTGACACTCATATTGAAGGCCATAGTGTATGTTTCATGCATGTGTTGAAATAAAAGAAAGAGTCTGGGGTAATAAGACCCTTTCATTCACCTAAAGATAGCTTGAAGATACCAAACTGCATTCCTGAAAAATTCCTTTATCCTACATGGGCAGATGCAACAAGACTCACTTGCTTTTAGAAAAGTCTGTTGCCTTGAGACTAGATCTATGTTTCTTTATTTTTCTTATTCTATAACATTATAGCAGATAACTGTTGTTTTGTGAAATTTAGCCTTTGATTTCAAAGCGATTTGATAGAGAAAAAATGGCATTAAAGTTTAAGAGCAAAGACACATTTCACACTGTTTAATTTTAATAATGTGGCTCTTGTTAAGACAAATTCCCATTGCCTAAGAAGACTCTCTCTGTTAGCCACCCATCTTTAAATATTGGTGAAGCCTTTTGTTACTTAAAGGTGTTGGCTTGTGACAGTCAACTATCAAAATCCAAGAAAATGAAGTGGTTGAAATTCCAACTGGCTGAGGGCTCTGAGGGCCCAACATGCCCATGCTAAGTGTAATTGTAAAAGGGAATGCTTCTTTATTTACTTCAAAATGTCAGAATTCATGATCATCATACAAGAGTGTTACAGGTATTTCTGACTCTCAAAGAGTATTTTTAGTTGTATATGTAAAGATGTGTATTTAAAAAAAAGACAAAAAGAAGAAATAAGAAAAAGAAAAAAAGAATTCAAGAGGCACATCCATGCTTAGGTATCCAGAGGTAGTAAATAGGTAGCAGTGGGAGCAAAAGCATTTCTCTTTCGTCTTCTTAGCATATAGAAATATAATGCCAATCTTCCATTAAGATTATGCTCCTCTGACTTTGAAAGTTGGATGGTTTCATAGGTGCTGTTGTTGGAGAGCTTTGAGATATTGATGGAAGTAAATAATTCCATTCTTATTTTCTTAAATGTCATTTATCATGCAGTGAATAGAATAAATGTAGAGTAAGCTGCCCATCCCCTCTAAACCTTTACCTAAGATGAAACTTCCATTCTTGAAACATGGTTATACATCAAATCTACCATCAGCCCTTTTTCTATTCCATGTTCTGCTCTGGTGCCTCATCTGGTTTCCTATCACACCTAAATGGAGATTTTCCCTGATACTTCCGGGTCATTGTTGTCCCTGATTTTACCAACACCCAATACTCTCTCTCTGTATCCTCAGGTTGCCTTTACATCATTCAGTATATAACTAAAAGCTCTATTCGCTGTTTCTTAGTAACCTCTAGTCAATTTCCTTCTGTTAAAAATTAGAAGCAAAGAAATATGTGGTGGTATTATAATTGTACTGAAATGTGATTTTGATTGTATATTAATAAATAAAGTTGGCCGGGCGTCAGAGCTAATAGAGCCATAGCAAGAGTGTTTACTGGTAATGAATAATTCTTTAACCAGGTAAAATAATACCTAGAGTGGGATGTTAGCTTGCTGAAATCTTCTTCTAAAATCTTGAACTAGTAAGTCCACAGTACAATCCTATATCACCATACAACAAAGGACCTCCTCCAGACAGTCCAATCATGAAAATGTCAGTGATTAGAAAAACAAGAACAAAAACAAAAACAAAAACAAAAACAAAACAACCTTGATTTCCTAAACTCCAGAATACTGCATTAAGGATGCTGTGTTAGACAGTTTGACCAGCTAAAACTGAACTTACTTAAGGAAAAAAAAAAAAAGGTGAGCATTTATAAATTTGAATATAGAATATTTTAGTTTTGCAAATGAGTATGGTCTTCATATATTTGTCATCAAAAGTACAAACAATCATTCCACCTTTCCTAATTTAATATGCAATTCAAAACATTTTATAGCATCTCAAGGACTTAAATGCATTTATTTTAAGACAAGCAATCTTGCATCAATACCTTCAGCCATGTATGGCTTAAACATGGCTCTATAATGACTTGATTCATGGCCTCCCACACATTCCATCAAATCTCTTCACTGTGGTAGGCTTAAGTTACAACTTTAATATTGTCTTTTGACTGTGCTTTTTTGCTATTTTATTAAAAGAAAAAAATGCAAGAAAAATATGTCATTGAGATTGATGGTAATGGCCAGCTGTTACAATCTCAATGGAAGTATTAGAGACCCTGCCTAAGGTGCACTGAAGA